CGGTTTTCAATGCATTCCTATGGGAAATGGTGTTTCACAGAACGATGTTTCACACAACGTTGATTTTTTTGGAACCAATTAATATCGTTGTGTGAGGCACCACTGTATCTTGAAGGCCAAACCAAGAAGCCCCTGGGAGACTTTACATTCTGAGCTAATTGGAGAAGAGATAAAACACCTGGACTCTCTCATGGGAATAAGGGGACGAGAGAGGTGGTACAGCCTCTAAAAAGTTAATTGATTAACAGCCAGATGGGCCATGGAGAAAGGAGGAGTTTGGGAAAGTAGAAATGGAAGATCGGTTATGTGAATTGTGTTCCATTGTGTTCAGTAATTCCTGATGATGGATTCTGTTCTGTTCTGATGATGGTATGAGCATGTAGCTTGAAAGAGGGAGGATGTAAGTAAAGGACAAAGTAAGAGGAGGTGGGGGCATAACCCACTATGGCCCACCATAGCCTCGTTAGTTCAGTTTAGTAGTTTCTTATTTTAAATGGGAAATAAGTATTTTATTTAACTGCAATAATATTTGAATATGTTCTTGAATGCTACTGTTTTTGCAATATACAATAAACTGATTTTCTATGAAACTCAATTTTTCTAATAAAAATATGTTTTAAAATCCTTACTGAGGACTGGTCTCTTGAACAACAAGGTCTGGCTAATCCCAGTAGTGAAGAGGGCCACAGATTTTCTATCATTTAAGAGTCCTACCTCACTGAGCTGTTGTGAGTTCTAAGGAATCACAAAGCCAGGTGTCTGTACATGCAAAGTGTTCATTTTATATCAGACTTGTTCAAAGGGGCTTATGCTACGCACTGCTGAGATCTAAGGACTCAATCCAGCGCAAAGGTGGTAGGTAAGACTCTGGCAAACTTTCTGACTGAGTGCTTTGTGACCAGTTAGAGGCCCACGAGTGTCACACTCCCAGTTCACTGACTTGTGCAGATTCCATCAAATGAATAGCACCTGTGTAAAATCCGATACCCCTGGGTGTACCTGTTTCTGAAAAGGTTCCATTTTTGTGCTGCTCTAACAGTTTGAAAGTTTTTCCTGATAGTCAATCAAAATCTGACTTCCTGTAACTTGAGCTCACTCTGGAATGTTTGAGAATAGATCCTACCCCTCCTCTTTATGACAACCTTTTATATATTTGAAGAGTGCTATCATAACTCCCCGCAGTCTTCTTTTCTCAAGACTAAACATGCCCAGTTCTTTCAGTATTTCCTCGTAGGCTTGGTTTCCAGTCCTCTGATCATCCTCCTTGTTGTTGTTTTTTAGTTGTTAAGTTGTGTCCAACTCTTTGTGACCCCATGGACCAGAGCACACCAGGCATTCCTGTCTTCCACTGCCTCCTGGAGTTTGGTCAAATTCATGTTGGTAGCTTTGATGACACTGTCCAACCATCTTGTCCTCTGTCGTCCCCTTCTCTTTATGGTCCAGCTCTCTCTTCCATACATCGCTACCGGAAAAACCATAGCTTTGACTATGCGGACCTTGTCGGCAAGGTGATGTCTCTGCTTTTTAACATGCTGGCTAGGTTTGTCACCACTCTCCTCTCAAGAAGCAGGCGTCACCATCTGCAGTGATCATGAAGCCCAGGAAAGTAAAATCTGTCACTACCTCCATATCTTCCCTTTCATCCTCATTAGCCTCCTCTAAACGTGTTCCATTTTTTCTGGATCCTTCTTAAAGTGTGGTGTCCAGAACTGGACACATGATTCAAGATGAGGCCTAAACAGGGCTGAATATTTGAGAATTGGCACATGTTTTGGAGACTGTACAAAATAGCATTTGCCTCTCTTGCAATCACATCACAGTATTGGTTCATTCTCAGCTTTTAATCTACAATTCCAAGTAATATTCATATTATACATTGTTCCTTTTTCCTAGGTGTAGAACTGTGCACATATCATCAAATTTAATTCAGTTGTTTTCAGCTCATAGCTCAAGCCGATCAAGATATTTTTGAATATTGTTTCTGTCTTCCAAGATTTGAGCATTTTTGTGTTGTCTGCAGATTTGATAAGCATTCCCTAGACCCCCTTATCCTAGTCATTAATAAAAATGAAGAACAGTACTGGACCCAGTACTGAGCCCTTTGGTAGTCTGCTTGCTACCTCCTCTCAGTTTAAGAAGGATCTATTGATAACCTCTCTTTTGAGTGCCATTCAATAACCAACCTGATAGCTGTTCTATCCAACCTACATTTAGTTATGTTGCTGATCAGAACATCATGAGGCACTTTGTCAAAACCTTTGCTGAAGTAGAGATATGTTACATCTATAGCATTCCTACAGTCTACTTAGTCAGGTTACCTGATTTAAAAAATATATAAATCATGATTTGAATATAAAAAGAATTAAATTTTTTTTTAAAAAAATAAAAAATAAAAAAATGTAAATTTTTAAAATTGAAATTGTGATTTAAATAGTCTGGGGAGAAAAACAGCTTAACAATTGTCCAGTAATAAGAGGTTCTTTCTGTGCTCAATCTAAGTTTGCATCAAGACAGTTGGCACTTTTTCTCTCTCTCTTCAATTCACTCCTTTTAAACCTGAGATACCAAGGCAAGTGGGAGGGTTCCTAACAGACTTCATTCTTGAGGTATTTCAGTGTGGGTCCAGAAACATAGCTATTCCCAAACGCTCAGGTTAAATAGTGTGTTTAAAACCAAGTTCAAGACAGACACAAAAAATATAATGAAAATTATGTTCTTACTGAAGAGCCACAGCCTTCACCCATTTGAGACTTCCTGGCTAGAGAGCATTGCTGCCAGGCAGTTTGAAGAACCTCCCTTCCATTTGAGAAATTAAATCACCACCTAACTGTTGAATGTAGTCACAGAGGAAAGAGCTTCATTTGCCCTTGGGACGAAGACAGCTTTTATATCCTGGTCCCAGCCGAGCAAAATCAGATTTTTTGCACTCCCTAGGTTGATATTCTTAGAAATTCTGTGTTCACTTCATTCATTTCTTTAAATACTGTATATGTCACCCTCAGGAAGTGGCTTGCAATACTGAAATGTCAGTGCCTTTTTAAAGAATTCTTCTGGAAGATCATAGCCAAGATGTTGGTCTTTCTGGGAGTAGATGGAAGCAAAGAAAGAAAGTAGACTGACAGTGCTGTTGTTTAGATAACCTGTTTGATCACTGTTTATATGACGGGGGTATTGTGTAGAGAAGATGTGTGGGCTCTTGATCTTTGAAGAGAAGGATGACCTTAAGATGACATACTAAAGAATCTGCAAAATGCATTTTTGGACTATAATACCCAGTGTGATTAAAAAACAAATCAACAAACCAGAATGCGTACCCAGAAGTAACCTATTGCAGGACATACTTAGAAGAGAAAATGACTGAACACTACTTTCGTTGTTATTTAGTCGTTAAGTCGTATCCGACTCTTCGTGACCCATGGACCAGAGCATGCCAGGCACTCCTGTCTTCCACTGCCTCCTGGAGTTGGGTTAAATTCATGCTGGTCCCCTTCTCTTGACCTCACACTTCCCCAACATCAGGGTCTTTTCCATGGAGATTTCTCTTCCCATGAGATGGCCAAAGTATTGGAGCCTCAGCTTTAGGACCTGTCCTTCCAGTGAGCACTCAAGGTTCATTTCCTTCAAAATGGATAGGTTTGTTCTCTTTGCGGTCCAGGGAACTCGCAAAAGTCTCCTCCAGCACCACAACTCAGAAGCATCAATTCTTTGGTGGCCAGTCTTCTTTATGGTCCAGCTGTCACTTCCATACATCGCTACTGGGAAAAACCATAGCTATGACTATGCGGACCTTTGTCGGCAAAGTGATGTCTCTGCTTTTTAAGATGCTGTCAAGGTTTGTCATTGCTTTCCTCCTAAGAAGCAGGCGTCTTTTAATTTCGGGGCTGCTGTCAGCATTTGCAGTTATCATGGAGCCCAAGAAGGTAAAATCTGTCACTGCCTCCATATTTTCCCCTTCTGTCTGCCAGGAGGTGATGGGACCAGTGGCTGTGATCTTAGTTTTTTTTGATGTTGAATTTCAGCCCATTTTCGGCACTCTCTTTCACTCTCATTTTTCATTCCTCCTCACTTTCTGCCATCAAAGTGGTATCATCTGCATATCTGAGGTTGTTGAGATTTCTTTCGGCAATTGTAATTCCGGTTTGGGATTTCTCCAGTCCAGCCTTTCGCATGATGTATTAGTTGTTACTAGTTGTTACTTTAAGTCCACAACTAAGACCACTCACATCTATCATATGTGATTTACAGCCCATCCTCAACACTTCACTCTCCTAAACTTTAACCAGCCAATCATGATCTCTGTATGTTGATGCCATGTATAAATAATTGCCATGTTATATCTCTCTGACATCTGAAGAAGGGGATTTTATCCATGAAAGCTCACATTAAAATATAGCAGCTTTTAAGATACAACTACATTTTCGCCTCTTTAATTTCTTCTTTAGTTTTATTTTGTTTTTACCTAAAATGCTTAATATGACAGGCATATATCAGTGGCCATATTCTCAGACTATTAGAACTCAGAAGCCTAACCAGTATAGCCAGTTGTTGGAGCTTCTGGGAGTCATGTATGCAAAGAACTCCTGGCATACATGAACAGTGAGTAAGATATTTATATAATATTGTAGCCTATGATTCATACATGATGGCTTAAATTCTGTTGTTTTGTGTACTAAGTTGCAGCTGGATTAGGCCTATTGAACCATTGGAACTTGGGGAGGAACTGACTTACTAGATCCCTACTGATTCAGTGAGCCTATTCTAGTTGTGGCTTACTATGCTAAGCAACAGCCAACATGTTCCTTGAAGATGAATGTCATTTGAGTTCAGTAGTACCTACTCTAAAGTAAGTGGGCTTTGGATTTATGTCAGTCCAGGTGTGCCTGCATTTGGGTGAGACTTGGAGGGACTGTGTAAAATGAGTCAAGAAATACAACATTGATTGCTGTGATTTTTGCAACTAAATATGATTCCTTACTGTTTTATATAATTTTTATCTCTAGGTTAAAGAACTTGTTCTTGACAACTGTAGGTCAAATGAAGGCAAAATTGAAGGTCTCACAGATGAATTTGAAGAGCTGGAGTTCTTAAGTACAATCAATGTATGCCTCACTTCAGTTGCAAACTTACCAAAGTTAAACAAACTTAAGAAGGTAAGTAAATGCCCTATCTGTTCACTAATTTTATAAAGAGAACAGAGGCCAGATCTTGATTATTTGTATACAGTGGCTTAATTGTAACACCATAAACTGCAGCAACAAATTGTGGCTACCGTATTTTTCGCTCCATAAGACGCACTTTTTCTCTCTAAAAAGGTGGGAGGGAAAGTACATGCATCTTATGGAGTGAATGCAAATAACCCAGGGATCAGCCACCACCACCCAAAAGCCTCCCACTGCCATGCCAGGAGGCCTCTGAACTGGCAGCAGAGACTGCTTGCTGTTCAGACCTCAGCATTCTGCACTGCTGGCTTTCCAAGATCTGCTCCCTGCAGCTCAACTGGAAAACCAGCAAGGCAAACAGGCCTGTGGCAGCAAGCAATGCAAACAGCCAAGGACCAAAGGGGAAGGAGTGATTCTATAAAAACCAGGGGAAACCAGAAACACAGTCCCCCATTTAGGCAGTTGATTTTCCCACATTTGGGGAAATCACAGGGGTCAGCTCATCTGAAGTGCAATAGATGAGCCTTACCCTGGGAAACCCACTCTTACAAGAATGGTATCTTCCCTGCCAGGTCTGAGTTTGAATGGCCCCTAAGCCTCCTGGCCCTTTGTGTGCCCTGCCCTCAAAAGGCATGGTGACCGTCTGGCTGCACCTCCTGATCAGAACAGGGTTGCATAGCCCCAGTGCTGAAAGAGGCCAGGAGAGCTCCTCAGTGTTTTGGGGTGCCCCACAGGACCCCCATCAGGGGCTAGATGTTCCTCCCACAATCCTCCAGTGCACATATACTAGCATACCTAATATGTGGGGAAGGTGGGGAAAGCAGGAGAAATTGAAACTTTCAGTTAGTGAAGAGGCTGCTTGTCTGCTTCCTTGCTAGTCCAAGCAGTTAGAGAGCTGCTTGTTTTTCTTTAAAAGCTTCTTGTTTTGAGTTAAACCCTGTTTGGATTAAAAGGTGCTCCGTTTGAGTTGAAACCTGCTTGCCTGGGAAGCGGCTGATCAGCTGTTAGGTGGGGAAAGGGCAGGAAGGGAGAAGAGAACAAAATGGCTGCCGTCTGCAGGCTGCCTGCTGGCATTTAGCTGTTTGGGGCTCTTTTTTGGCTGTTCTGGGGTCTACCAAGGCACTGTGAAGAGCCAGGCTCAGTCTACAGTACCTGGTGAGTGAATTTCTTTTAGGTTTTTTAAAGTTTCTGACCTTTTTCAATGTATTTCTATGGGAAATTTGGATTCAACTTGCAAACTTTTCAACTAGTTCTGGGCATCTCATAGAGAATGTATTTCCAAAGGGTGTTGTAGCAAGGAAACTAACTGTGCCTCGTGACTTCTAACTGGATTATAGTACCTGCTTCCTGATTTCAGCTACTATAGTTTGTATTCAGTTTTTTTGGCTGGTCAAGAACATTGTTCCTGGCTTTGTGTGTTGTGCCTTGCATGCTATAAACGTTCAATTATGTCAGAAAATGGAGATTTGGTCTTATGCAGAGCATGTGCTACTGCTGGTGAATGGGATCAGGTTAAGCTTTGTGTTGCTGTTCTTTTGCATAACCTAAAGTAAATAAGGAAAACCAGCTGTTAAATAGTTTAATTCCACTATTTATCCTCCACACAACTAAAAGGGACCTCTCAATGCAGTGCCCAATCAGACAAACCATTTCTAATTTAGTATAGGATTGAGCTGTAGATGGGCAGAGTTGCACAACAATCTCATCTGTCATTTCTATAAGCATGGGGAGGAGGTGGATGAAAGGAAATGTAAAATATAGGTAGCGTGGTATAGGTCTTATCACTGGCTGATAATGGTCTATATGTACTTGAATTAAATTTATGGTACATGAGTACACAAAGCTTTAAGTCTCTCCATTTGTTAATGACAGTGGTAATGGTTCTTAATGCCACTGTTGACTGCTGTTCACTTTACATGGTTCAAATGTTATTCTGTTATAGTGTATTAAATATTTTATTACACTATTTGGTTCAGAATATATTTTCCCTGTTTAACCCCTCTAAAAATTATGTGCGTCTTAAGATCCGGAGCGTCTTATGGAGCAAAAAATACGGTAATTAAAGAGTTGATGGTTTTATTCCTCATCACGTGCCAAGTCATGCAGTTGCCACACAATGAAAAATACAAACATCAACTCCTTGATTAGCAACAGTTCACTGCTACAGCTTACATAGTTCCACTTATTCTGGCATACCTAAGTGTTAGGATACTGACCAATATGTTTCTTAAGTACGGAATTAATTGTTCCCTTTAGAGGGTCTGTTACTTGATATTTATATACATGTCTGTTGTACTCTATGATTATTGAGCTTTTGCTAAGTAGAAAATCCTCCATGTAGTATCACTAGATTATGTTGGTTATGCAAATGGTGATATCTGCAGAGAAAATTCATATAATGCCTGCATAAAGGCAATATTTGCACAAGTGTTGCAATCCAGCATTACTGTGTGGGTGGGAGATTCAACAGAATGCTGCAGAAGCTCAGAAGAATACTGGCCTGTGTGTTTGAAGGAATGTGCAGTTGCCCATGAAAGCTTATGCCAAGTAAAACTTGTTCACGATTATACCACAAAATTTCTTGGTTCTGTTGTTCAAACAGACAGCAGACTAACATAGTGGCTCCTCTTGATGTTTAACCAAATGTTTTGGCTTTCGTACGATATAAAAGTAAAGCTAAATGTAGATGATATCAGCAGTTGGTAGGATTAAGGTAAATTTTATTAATGCAGTTAGGTTTACTAAAGTGAGTATGCTTCCTATATAATAATTCCCCCACTTCCCATCTCCTCTTATTTTTCTGCTTTTTTACTCCTCTTGTTTGCATCACACTACCATGGGACAGAGTCTGCCATTTATTGCCTTTAGCTTGTATTCATCAGTTTGGGTTTTCTTGGTGTCTTTGTCTTATGCTGTGGAATTTTCTGTCTGATTGCCTCATTTCCATGAGCACTGCACACCTTGTCCACCCTTCTGCCATTCTGCTTCTTTCTTCTGTGACTTTCAGTCCACTAATCTATTGGTTTCCTGTCCCTCCCCTTTGTGGCTTCTTCTTCTTCTTTGACTGCCCAGTCTGAATTTTAGTTCATCCTTCTCTTCAGCATTTGACGCATTTACTTCATTCTCTCAGCAAACTTTTCTACCTTCTCACTCCTGGCCCAGTGCATCTGTTTGATACCTTTATGCACATTTTCAAGCTGCTGAAGTCCTGAGTAGAACAAAACAACTTGGGCGACTTTGTCCACCATAACCTAATGTCTCTTCCTTCTCGTCTACCTCCTCTGTACCTAAGTGGCACCTTCAAATCACACCAAGCCTAGGAATCCTCCACACCTATTTCCTGCTTGTGGTCCTCTGCAACAGTGGTCCCCAACCTTTTTAACTCCACAGACCGGTTGGGGAAGGCGAGGCACCCCCCCCACACGCAGGCATGAAGGAGCAGACGCGCGGGCACACAAACACTCGCGCGCATGTGCGAAGGAGCAGGTGCACACATGTGCTCATGCAGGCACAAAGGGCAAGGTAGAGCCCGGGGAGCACTTGCAAAGGGATGGGGGCACTTGCACACACTCACACACATGCGCAAAGGGGCTGTGGGGGGTAGGAGTGCGCGTGGGGTGGGAGCAGACGCGCGGGCACACAAACACTCGCGCGCATGTGCGAAGGAGCAGGTGCACACATGTGCTCATGCAGGCACAAAGGGCAAGGTAGAGCCCGGGGAGCACTTGCAAAGGGATGGGGGCACTTGCACACACTCACACACGTGCGCAAAGGGGCTGTGGGGGGTAGGAGTGCGCGTGGGGTGGGTGGGAGATCTGTCTCCGCGGCCCGGCCCGGGCCACAGACTAGCTCCAGGGCACAGATCGGGTTGGGAACCCCTGTTCTACAAGACTAGCCTGTTGCTCCTTTCTTTGCTCTCTGCCCCACACAGACTTTTCTCCTCCAGTGCTGAAACTGAGACCATTTGTTCTTTGTGATCTCTGTGAATCACACGTGCTGGTTCTTTTTGAACCTGTGTGAAACTCTTCAGAATATTTCCAGAGCTAGATGTCCATTAGGTCAACTCCCTGCACTGTGCATACTCCTTCATCCTATGGAGAATACTCGGTTCCCTTTCAGCCGCCACTGAGGAAACATCTCTACTTATTTGTCTAGTTAGTACCTTTATACCATGGTGGTAAGAACTATTTACTAAATATAAAGTAAATAGATTTCTCAGCCATTATCTGTTTCTTCATCTCCCTTTTCATTTTTTTTGTCATAAGTCATTTAAAAAAATAATCATTAGTATTTGTCATGTTTGAAGCCTTCCCGTCTGTTATGGTTCCTGCAAGCCCATTTAAGAAGTGCATCCTTAAACTAACAAGGTACCCCTCACTGATGGACACTTGAAGCGCCTTTACTCTTTAGGTGAGAGGCATCAAACCCCAAACTGCTAGATTTGTCATAAATTCACCAACATTGCCACAAAGAACCATCTATCCTGACTAAAATGTTATTTGTTGGAAAATTTGCTACACGTGGTAGATACTTGTCACAAATGATGACTTTGATCTCTACAATCACTATTTGCAAAATGCCATCTAAGCAAATACTCACAGAGGCAGTACAGTCAGAGGCTGCTTCAACTAGGAGTCAAGATGACCCAGCTCCTCATGAAATGCAGTCTAAACAGACATCTTCCCTCAACATTGAGGTCAGACCCTTGTCTTTGAGATTAGCACCCAAGTCAGTGTCGACCTCCACAGCAAAAAAGAGGGGAAAGCCCACAGATTGCAAGGGCCGCAAAGTAAAAGCCAAAGAAGTCACTAGCCAGAACTTCAACTCAGGATGACTTGGTCTGTTTCAGATCAGAGGAGGACATCTCTCAAATTATGCATCTTCACTAGCCCTCAACCATTCCAAGGAATGGAAGATCTAAGTTACCTGTCCTGTGATATAAGAGCCCTAAGGATATACAACCTGATAAAATAGCTCAATGCTGGGAACATCATTCTTCCTCTGATTCCCAATCAACAGTATGGGAAAAAAGTTTTCCACCATGAAAGAGATCACACAGATCATACTACTCAAAGGCTACAATGGAAACAATGTAACCATATTATTTTGGCACCATGCTATACCTGCCACATTTCTATCCTGGACTGGAGGGGCACTTTCCACCACCTTTTCCTTATCAGAGGGTGCAGGTAGAGAAGCCGTTTGGCTCTGTCCACGGCTTGTCAGAATAGTCACCGATGTCAGCACATTATGCCAATCAATATGATAAAGATACTTGACATTGAGGTTGCTGGAACCAAGGCAGTCCTTTGGTCTTTAAATTGCCACTACTGAAAAGACCTTGTAAACAAAGAATTGATCCTGATCATAATCCATCACAATCAGTTTCAGAAATTTCTGTCCTAGACTGTCTAAAGAACATCCTTGACACCAAGGGAAAGGTGAAGTGTCAAGACAGCATTGATACCAACCACTAGACAGTATCCATTGGTTTCAGTATCCCCTTCATCCAGATCACCAACACCGGGTCAGAATTGCCTCTGAAGATCCTAGGAACAAAACTCCTAGGATAACTTGGCAAACAAAAAAGATGCACAACATACTCATGGTACCAAACAGGCTTAAAAACGCATTTAAACCACTGTCTAAACACACCAAAGTCTTAAGCAAAAAGAACACCACTACGGAAAGCACACTTACAAAGCATATTTCTTCTTTAGCTGCTAAAAAGGACCGTAAAACTCCTCATGTTCCTGCAGAAAAGACCAGGCAATGATTACACTTAATCATTCTCAAGGTTCTGACTCAGAAAATGAATTTTTAGATCACTGCGAAATCTTAGCCACTACACCAGAGTCAGATAATGGAAACAGGAATCCACCTTTTTCGTCTGAGGATTTTCATTCATACTTGGATCTGTTGTTTTGAAGTCACTACAGTTAGAGATCCAAAGACCACCTTCACGATGGTCTGATCCTATGTATGTCCAGATAAACAAAGTGCAGCTACACCACTACACATTAGAATGTTACTATCCTCCTACTGCCAGCTGCCAGAAGAGTTGAGAATCTTTATAAGATTTGTGACTAAGAGGCCATATTTCTGCTGAAATACCTACCACCTAATTCCATCATTGTGATGACTTCCCAAATCAGGTCAAGAGGAATTCACAACACAACTCTCATCAACATGGATATGATTGGTAGAAAAATACACCATGGCATTGAAAATATGAGTAGAAGACTACTAGGTAGCAATAGGATGCAGATACTCGTAGGATAAAAATCAACCCCTCTCTACCTGAGGATAAGAGGATCCTGGCCCTAACATTCCAATAGGAAGCCTTGTCTTCACACAACTGATACAGTCTGCCAGATATGCAACAATATGCATGGTCTTGATTGACTGGTCTTTCAAAAGACTTACTGTGGTTTCCACCCAGGTCATAAATATTAATGTGCTATCTGCATGGACCAATGAGAGTGCTGGAGCGGCAGAGTCATAAGATATAGGATTCTCTGCAGGGGGAGGAGAGATTATAGGATAAGAGATTGAAGAGTTTGAGTTTGGGAGTTTGGAGTCGAGAGACAGTTTGGGAAGGCAGTAGAGAATAGAAAGGAAGCTTGTTTTAGTTGAGAGTTAACAACACTGACTGGGTTACTCACCCTTATAGAAATAATAAATGAATGCTGTATATATTTAAAATGTAATAAAAGAGTTTCATTTAATGTGGTCAACATTTCTCATCCTCAGCTTGAGCTAAGTGACAACAGAATCTCAGGAGGATTGGAAGTATTGGCAGAAAAATGTCCAAATCTCACACACCTAAACCTAAGTGGAAACAAAATAAAAGATCTCAGTACTATAGAGCCTTTGGTAAGTACTGTATGTGCAAACTTCGTCAAGAACCTTTTGTGCCATGATGTAGCTCTACAGTCTTGCAGGTATATTTTTCTCTTTTTCTCATTATAAACATGCAGAGCTTCACAGCTCTCCACCACTTCCCCACTAATTTGTATTTCTTTGAGCATGGATGGAAATGGTTCCCACATAATTTTATTATGAATGAGACCGGGAAGCAACAGAGTCCCATTAGGTGCAAAAGGCAGGGGCCCAAGAAGCTATGGACCACCACTGTTTTGAAATCCTGGACAAGCTGCAAGGGGAGGCTCAACCTTCCCAGTGTCAAAACCTGAACAGCAGCCCTCCCTGAAAAGTGCTTGTTAAGAATGAGACTAGAAAAGAGCAGAGGCTAGATTTGGACTATAGAGCCTTTGAAGTTCTTCCTCTTTGTCCCTAAGTCGTACCAGCTTTCCAAATGGCTTCTCCTACAATGCTGCCATACTTCGTTTGTCTGATGCTTTGGATTGCTGCCTCTCTGCCAAGAAAAGAGAACTCTAAAAGGAGAAACCAGTACACCAAAAGTGTTCTATGTAGACTGGTGGTTTCCCCTGGAGTCAGACTTGCTTGTCTGTGCTACCATTTTTCTAGCTTAAGTTTCTCCATAATTTTGTTCTGCCTGGTAAAAGTTCTTTCCTCATTGAATGTGAAATATGAGCAAGCGTTCTTCAGAACCAAAAGTAAAAATTCAGTCTTTCCTAGGATGTTCTCATCCTTTCTCTTGGCTTGAAAGGCTATGCATACAGATTTGGTAGTTTTTCCACAGCTCCCTCTGGTGGTCATCTGAAGGAATGTAATCTGAAAGTGAACAGGGAAGACTTCCTTGAGTGGTGTTTCGCATTCCAGCCCAGCCTGACATGATAAGTTTATTGCTTCTGCTCTTGGAGGTCTCAAAGTTCTGAAGCTTTTTCATGCGGTGTCCCAGCGGCACGGCACCTTAGTTGAGTCCGGAGCCCAGCTTTTCCCAGCCTACTTACTTCCCAGTGTGTTGAATGAAACCCTTTTTTGGTTGGGAGAAGGCTGCTCTAAATCTGAAATGGCTTGAGCAGCCTGGAATGCTCCTTATGTATGAAAAACTTCCTTTCCATTTCCTGGGGCTTCTCCACTTTTAAGCTTATCTAGTCTTTTGGTGTATATCAGTGAAAGAAATCTCTCCTTTTGCCTTTCAGGAAAAGTTAGAAAATCTGAAGAGTTTAGATCTTTTCAATTGTGAAGTTACTAACTTGAATGACTACAGAGACAATGTCTTCAAACTCCTCCCACAACTCACTTATCTGGATGGATATGACCGAGATGATAAGGAGGCTCCTGATTCAGATGCAGAGGGCTATGTGGAAGGCGTCGATGATGAGGAGGAAGAGGAAGATGGTAGGTCACGTCATTTGGGCTTCTGAATAGCTATTCCCAAGAGACAAAATTTTTAGTCGTGGGATGTGTGCACTTTCAGCAGAACACACTGTCACTCTCAACAGTAATAGCACTTCTGTGTACCTTGATAAAGGCATGTGTGCTGCTTACTGCAGCAGGATGTGTCTTCATGTAGGGGAGGAGGAAGAAGGGGGTAAAAACACAAGAGCTGCTGGTAGCTTCAGAAAATAAGTTGTAGAGATAATCAAACATAGGAGAAACAATTTCCAGGATGAGGAGATAGTAGCTTAAATTTCAGTTTAAAAAGAAATTCTGACAGAAGGATTTGTGAAGAAGGGGAAAGACTGTCTCAATTACTGTTTTGCGCAATAGCCAAATAGAACTTGCATGTATGGGTGCACTATAGCTTTAAATAGGGGATGTCAGGAACAAATAAGACTGTTGTCTTCATTGAGCATTTTGCCTAAGCATCTGCCTGGTGTTCCTTGGTAGAATACTGATTGACCAGACGAAGCAGCAGGAGGTGGTATAGTTTAAAAAAAAACTTACATAGGTGCCACCTCTGTGAAGTTACAATGGAAAGCCACACTTGGGCACCTCCCTTCTCTCAGTCTTTGTGCAGTGGCTCTTCTTGCCACATGAGTGCAGGACTGATTCCACCGAACATGTCAGCAGCAAACTAACATGGTGACCTTGTCTGCTTTTTGCAGAGGAGGAATATGATGAGGATGCTCAGGTAGTAGAAGACGAAGAAGAGGAGGAGGAAGAGGAAGAAGGAGAAGAGGAGGATATCAGTGGGGAAGAGGAGGTAAGAATGTAGTAGCTTGGTGGGTGGGTTTGGGGAAAAGAAATGGATGAGAATTGCTTGCGTTGGAGTGCTGGCATGATAGATCACTGATGAACCTGAGTGCTCAACTCTTTTTGAACCAGCGGTGGTGGTGTTTTCTTTCCTCTTCCAACACTTGTATATAGCTTTATCAGCTTGGAAAAACTTGAGGAAAGTTTTTTCCCCACTTTCTTTGTCTGCTTTCCACAGGAGGATGAGGAAGGTTATAATGATGGTGAAGTAGATGATGAAGAGGAAGATGAAGAAGCTGGTAAGCAGGGAATGAGTACTGGGGAAATTTTCTTATAAATAGGCTTTACAGTACTGCCCTCGCATCTAGTAAGATACACAAAATGTTGCATGGGCAAATTGAAGGTGCCGCATCAGAGAGAATGTCTCTGTATGTGGTGGGCAAAGCATAGTCCTTCTGGCATTGTTTGCAGTCCCTTGGATGGGACTGGAAAAATTGCTGGTCCATGTTTATCCGTCCCTCCTACAGATTAGTGGCCATTTATGCAATGGCCACTTCCCAAACCAACGTGGGCACAAGCTTTATTGTGCTTTGCAGAACATTGCTAGATTGTATATGGGACTTAAGATCATGTGCTCCACTTGATATGAAAGGAGAATTCAGCAACGTAAAGCTTTTTAAACTGGGAAAATTCTGCAGTTGGAGAAGTTTCCCTGCCATGGACCAAGTAGTCATACCTGGGGCCTGTGTGGGGTCTAGCAGATGTGTATCATTTGTGGCAGACCTCTAACCTGACTGCAATTCCTTTCTCAGATGAAGAAAGAGGGGAGAAGAGAAAACGAGAGGCTGATGATGAAGGAGATGAAGATGATTAATCTCAACATAATCTGTTTTGGGCCCAGGGGAGGGGACAAATCTCCTATTGTGATTTGACTGTTCCTACCCTGTTTCACCCATCCTCAGCCCCCCTCTGCAGAGTGTAATGTTCCTGTGGGATTGAGAAGGAAATGCATAATTATGTGGGTGAGGGAGTTAAAATAACATTTTTTTATAAAAACAGCCACTCCTGTTTCTGGAGAATTTCCTTTTGTGTTTGTTATTAGTTCCTGTTAATGCAATAGCAAATATAAAGCAAGCAGTACATTTGTTTGTTTGTTGTTTCTTGGAGTGGATTATCCTGGAATTTTAGATTTAAAAAAATGCAGTTTTTTTTTTAAAAAGTGGGCAAAGATTTCCATATGTGATGCGAAGGTGGCTAGAATGGAAATGGTGGTGAGACCATTGAGGTTCTTTAAACTGAAGGTATTTACTAGTCTATGAGCATATTATAAGAGTTTTTTCTTTTTCACCTCTGAATGCAAAACGTGCTGTGAAAGTGTTCCAGTGACAGCCACAGGGGTGCAAACAGCATCTTGGTAAAGTGTTTTCTTTGTTACCTGTTCATGAATGGCTGCCATTTCCAGGACACAATTTTCCTGTTTTCTCTAGATCCCCCTCATTCATGTTTCCTGGTACTAATAAAAATTAATAATAATATAGGAACTGCAGAGTTGGAAGGAACCCTATGAATCATCATGTCCAGCCCCTGTCAAGGAGGCCCAGTGGGGGATTGAACTCCTACTCTCTGGCTCCACAGCCAGATGCCTAAACCACTGAGCCATTGAGCAGTTCTAATTTCACTGTCTGTAAATAGTGACCAAATATGAAATCCCCTTCCTTCTTTGTTACCTTGTTTGTTTGTTTGTTTGTGAAGGGTGACTTTACAATTTCTGTTTTATTTTTCAGCATCTTTCTGAGCGCAACCCATTGGGAAAGTTTCTCTGAATGGGAGCTATAACAGAGCAAGGCTGTTCAGTAGCTCCTGTTCTCTTGGGCTGTGCTCTTGATTTGTTTAGAGTGTCTGGGAAAGTTCTCTATAAATGGCAGTCATTGAATACCTATAAATATATATAAAAAGTGTTCTTAATTTCCTGAGTTAACTGATGAAATTAATTTGACAGTTGTAATAAAAAAGAAAAATGTTCTGACCCTTTTAAACTAAGGTGTGTACTATTTTGGTCTGTAAAATATTATATATATAAATATATTAATCCCACCTTGATATTAAGCAATTAGAATATGTTTCCACATGTGCTCTATGATACAGATTTGTACAAACCTTTTCAATACTGAAGGGAATAATACAGCATGTGGGCACAGGCTGATTCTTTTCATACACTCAAGCATGGAATGCTAACACAAGAGTTGTATTTTCTTACTTAGTTGCAAAGAGTCAGTAAGTTGACTGCAAAGTACCTAGCTGAATGTACAGTTTTAATCTCATACCCCTCTTTAAAAATAGTGATAGAAGTGACTTGTATTTCTTAGTCAAGAGCTCATCTGTGTATACAAAAAACAAAAACGTGACATCCTTCCCTCTTACTCCCCAAAGAGCCAAACTTTTTGAGTTTTATGTCTTGTTTGTCAATGATGAATTTCAATAAATCTTTTTATACAGTTTTTTTTCCTGTGGCTTATTGAAATAAAGTGGGCCACTGGGAAACTGCTTGTCTTTAAAGAGGGTACACCTCAATAACTTCTTTCGGATTATTTTTAGCAATACTTTAACTTGTTCTTTCAAAATTAGTCATGCAAGCTAATTAATTCCTGCACATACTTCACCAGAATATAATAGGATCTCTGAATGCCAGATGCATGCCCCACTATCATGCCTTTAACTTGGGATATTCCCACAGGGCCACTTGGTTTAGATTCAGTCTGATTCAAAAGGATGCTTGTGCTGATTTATTTTTCATGGCAGGCCAAACTAATCACTAACTAATCAGTAATCACTGGGGCAACATTGAGGGATAAAGGACTCAACTTAGATGTGCAGTGAGAAGCTTCTTGCCTTGCATGTGGTGGTTTTATGAAAAGGGTTAGGCAAACTTACCAGCCCTGACCATGAATAGCCACTCTTGTTCTGCAGGAGCGCAATATTCAGTACTTGAAGCTTCATAACATTGATTTTCCTTTGCTTATTGGTCAATTATTCTCCTCTTCCTTGTTCAGGCTTCAAGTTCCCACCCCACACAGAAAGCAAAAGAAGACCATTACAGGCTGGTTTGGTAACTTTTTAAAATTTTGTATTTTTTTGTGGCAGCATAAATAATAAGTGAGTGATAAACACTGAAATGGAGCAGGAGGGATTAGGCACAGAACACACCGTAAACAGCGGCTGTAGGACTGGTGAAGAAAAACGTAATTGCCTAACTGATACTTGGTGTGAAAGGGGAGAGCTTAGGGGACAGACCCAAGATGGCTAATTAAACACAGATTCATCAAGGTTTTCTTGCAACCTTGCTCTAATACTGAAGAGATGTGATTGTCTATATCATGAGGGCAATGGAAATGTAAAATTGGTGCCTGAAGCACTTGCATCAAAGGGAACCCAATATGTGAAGATATAATTAGCCCCATGGACAAAGCTGTAATTGCCAGAATGCACTGAGTATCACCGAAGCCATGTACTCTGCTTCCCTGCAGCCGTAACATTTTCATGGAACAACAAGCCATAGAAAGACTTGCATTTTAGGTGCAGGATTTCTCAGAACATGCCAACCAACCAGCTTCTCTGAGCCAGCTCCAATAGATCTAGCCAAAAATGTGTTGACATGTTTTGGGGCAACAATTTATGCCAGTTCCATCTGTAGATGTACATGTTTTATGTGCATTTACATGTAGTGTTTTCACAGTGAAAAGCCTCACCTATCATCCCCACTGATTCCATTACAGGTTTTTGCACTGATGACTAAAAGTGTTAGTTTTAAATTTTATTCTAGAGGATTGAGGTGCCCAGATAGCTCAGTGGTTTGGGTAACTGGCTGCAGAGCCACAGGTTGGGAGTTCTATTTGCTATGGTGCCTCTTGTGAGTAGAGCCAGCCTATGTGGCCTTGGGCAAGCTGCACAGTCCCAGGATGTCCCTAGAAGAAGAGAATGGAAAATTCTTAAAAAGGATTGCCATAAGTCAGAATTGACTTGCTAGCACATGATTATTGATGTTAGGACTACAATTACTCAATTTCCTCCCCACTTAATCAAAGGTTTTTAAAAAACCAGTTGGATTTCAGTGTCTTAAGTATGTGCCCAGTCACATAGCCAACATGCATCTGGCACTTGCTCAGCACCACCTCAGTTAACTGCAACCATCTTCCATTATTCCTTTTGTACGTCTAGTCTAATTTTTACTGGTGATCAGCCTGGTGAGGATGTAAGATATTTATGTTCTCTATAGGAAGTTCTGTACGACTGCTGAGACTGTCAAGTTCATAAAATGCCTCTTTTAATTTCCAAAACATTTTTCTGAGGAATTTTTCAACAGGTGACATGAAAGTCATGGAGCAGGTGACTTAGGACTCCAACCTAACCAGGTGCAACCAAGGAAGGGTAGTTGGTTGGGTGAAAACTTCTGGTCTCTATTATGTGTGTTGGTACTGGAGACAGCAGCTGTTCATTTAATAAAGCAGGTGCTTGAGTGATGCTGCTGTGCCCAGCCTTGCAATGTGTCAGAAAACACTGGGAAAGATAAGATCAATATAATTAGTACCCTATAGCCTTAGCTTATGCTTGTTTACTCATAAATAAGTCCCATAGTGGGGCTTACAGTGCATTTAGATACACATTTTAAGCACCTTGTAACTACAGCCTGGGGGTGAGTTACAAGTTATATCACTATTTGTAGCTAGTTACTTTGGGGGATAACAAGAGTGTCAGGTTACATTTCAAAAATAATGCATCTAGTAGGAACATTTTTTTTACTTTCAAACGTGTCTTTAGAGGCCCTTTTTAGAAGTAGGAGAAGAATTTTTCAGGTTTTGTGCCATTCTTTTATCCATCCTCAGTTATTGCAACAGGTAGTAAGTTAAATGTAACATATAAGTAACAGTCTGTAGAAGAACCAATGACAAGTTTTTAAAACTTGTAACAAGTAACAACAAAGGGTTACCTTCTAAAAACTGTAAGGAGAATTGGGGAGCTCCTGTTGGTTCCTATGGTGCATATTATCCTTATGCTCCTGTAGTGCATGTTATCCTTATGGGCTGCACAATCTATTAATTACATTTGCCAATGGTATTCAAAGTGGCTTACAGTTTTTACTTGATTCTCATACTAGGTTTGTTTCCTAGACTTGGAACAACTTCTCTGTGTGTGTGTTTGCAGTCATATAAAGAAACAAAACAGCAACACTGTGTAATATGTTAAATGTGTTATCATTAGAAACCAGATTTTGTGTAAGCCCATCTGTCTGGATAGGTTAAATTCCTTCTTGAATATGCCTCTGTATCTAACAGCAGGCATTTGTTGGCACATTGTTTGGCTGTTTGTGTAAATCAATTTGGTGAGTATTTGGGAGGTTAGCATATTTAGGAAAGAGCACATTTTTCAAAAAGCAGCACAGGACCTTAAAAGGATGCTCCTTCCCACAACACCCTCTGCAATATTAAATGGGTGGTGGCATTCATTTTTTTGCTTGTTCAGGATGATGAATGAATGAGCAAACAACTGAATGAATGCTTAGCTTTTCCTTGTAGCTTCCAGTTTTGCAAACCTGAACTTTAGTTCTGTATCCAGTGTGTATTGTCGGTCACAGTTTGCATAGGAAAAGAAAGAATATTAATAGAAAAAATTCAGTTGCCTTCTGCAGAGCATGCAGATTTTTTTTTCTTATCCCTTGAATGGTCAAGGTTGAAATTGTGCCCATTGCTTAATTCCATAACTTTATGGCATTAAGAAACAAATCTATTCTTTTCCAAGAGAAACTTGGGATATACACAGATTCCTTTTTCTTTTCATGCAGTAGTCTTCAGTTACACCATACAAATAATCTAGTGCTAGATAATGACCACAAAGGAAAATACTTCCAGTGTCAGCACAAGGTTTCTGGCTCATGTCATGTGTTAAATGGATACAGTAAAACTAAAGAGTGGGTATAAACAAAGTTTGTATAGGAAATGTCCTTTAGAGTTCATTGTTCTTCGGGCTATTGCGCAAATTTTTCAGCTCCAGCTGTAGCTGTCGGATTCTGATGTCCTTCTGTGAAAGCTCAGTTTTCAGTCGCCGGATCTCATCCTGTTGCCGAAAGAACATTCGGAGGAGCTTGAGGTGAGAGAAAGGGGGAAAAAAAGAGAGTGACTATTGTGTTGTTCTCTGCAGCGTTCTAGTTATTCACCATATTGTAGATGGTGGTAACAAAGACAGACATTCAGATGTTGCAGCGGCAGCATCTGGACCTTAGGTTTGTAACTGTGGGGAGCCATTTTTTCTTTTTTGGTAAAAATGATATGTCAGTTTCCATAAACAAGAGTAGGACCAGCTAAGGATAGACATGGAAGGATGCTAGTTTCCACTCTATGCAATTGGCATTAAAAAGTGCATAAAGGATTATGTTAAGCCTAGAAAGAACAGCTGCCTGTTTCTTACCTCATTCTCTGTTCTGGGGGGCACATTCTCCAAGAGGTCTATTCCATTGACAACAACACTCTTTTTCTCTCTTATAGGTGCTTTAAAAATTACTTGAGATGTTTTCTTATACCCCTCTTTCAAAGACACCAGTATGGGATCTAAGCACAAAAACACACACACACACAAAATCATGAAGAGATGATAATTGCTAATATATAAAACGTTAGGCAATTTTTATAAACAAGCAAGTTTCCCATGTTTTCTCCATTCCAGATTGTTAGATGGTTTTTTTAAATATGAGAGTTATGTCTGTTTTACTTTTGCCTTCAGTCCTACCTAACAAGGTGTGTGTATTCCTAATCCAGTTCTGTGGCTACCCTGCCCTCTTTATTACAATGTGAGGAGTCAGCTTGAAGAGTACCACTTGTCTTCAGAACAAGGTGAATACTGCTCACACCTCTTATTTACTGCCAGAGCAGCACTCACAGGCATGCAGTGGGATATCTGGTTGCAAACAATGTGTACAGAGAGTAGATACCTTTTTCTCAAGGCAAAGTGTGCTTTTTTTTTGAAGTACCATTCCTTTTACTTTTTTCACAATGGTGGCAAGAAAGAGGGAAGAGATCCTTCAGGGGGCTTGAGTGGGGTGTAACCTCTGGTGACTGATCCTTGGAAGCCACCTACCCCTGTAGAGGGTTCAGCAAGATTGGAAAATACACATACAACTGTAGATACTGCTTTGTGATTATAATGTTTCTTTGGGCTGTTGTGCACTAGCTTGAGGAATATGGCAACACACATATGGGACTGTTATATTCTAGGATCTTGAATAATACCAAACAACGGGACTAGCAACAGTACCCAGTCCCTTCGCAGACTGTGCCAGTATGGCAGGCTGCTGAAGAGGGAGCCTTTAGTCTACCCCATGCTGTACTTTTGTGCCACCAATACAGCTGGCAAAATACAGTTACATTGCAGATTCAACTCTGCTGTCGTCAGATGATACACAGGGCATAATGGCCTCTGACAGACTCTGGCCTGGTTATTCAATCTGATTTTCAGTGTCTTGAATAATCACCTACTCCTTTTAACAAAAAAAACCACACAAAATAAGATGGAAATATCAACTAATTATGCAAATTTCAAAAGAGAGAAGAACACTAGCATTCAGAATACCACATAACTGTACTCTGCAATTCTTATTTAGAAGGAAATATGATATACACCCAGATTAGAAGCATTACATTCTGAAATTATGGAGAGCTCCAAAAATTATTTACAATTTTTATTTGAAATTGGTTTCCAGCTGAAGCTGTACAGTGGTGCCTCGCTTAGCAATTGCGTCGTTTAACGATGTATTCGCTTAGCGATGAGGTTTTTGGAGCGATCTTGCGCTCCGTTTAGCGATGTTTCCAATGGGGAAATTTCGCATAGCGATGTTCGGGACCTTGTTTCGCCTAGTCCCCCTGTTTCGCTTAGCGATGTCTTTTTGCTATTTTAAGTGTGTCTTAAAATGTTCAAAAACTGTTTAAAATGCTTGGAATCATTAGTGCACCCTGTAAAACCTTTGCAAACTTAATTTGGCTTTGCTGTCAAACCTACAGTTCAGTGCATTCCAATGGGGGGGGAATTCACCAAAAATTAACGAAAACTCAGAACAAAGCCAAATTAAGTTTGCAAAGGTTTTACAGGGTGCACTAACGATTCCAAGCATTTTAAACAGTTTTTGAACATTTTAAGACACTTTAAAAATAGCGAAAACAGACCTGTCAAAACCATTGAAATGCATTGAAACCTATTCAATGCATTCCAATGGGGGAACCGCGTTTCGCTTAGCGATGTTTCCTATGGCGATTTTCGCTTAAGGATGGTAATCCGTTCCCATTGGAACGGATTATCCGATTTTCAATGCATTCCTATGGGAAATGGTGTTTCGCTTAGTGATGTTTTCCCATAGCGATGTTTTTTTTGGAACCAGTTAACCTTGCTAAGCGAGGCACCACTGTACTTTATTAAAATTAAGCTCATAGAATGCCATATAACAGTGCTAGCATTTTACCCCTATTCATTCCACTCAGCCATTCGTCTGGTGTGAGGGCAGGTTCTGTTCCTGGAGTCATTGGGTAAATATCCTCTTGGTAAGTTTCTGACTAAAATGGAAAAAGAAGAGAAATGATCAGTTATTAGTAAGTTCCAATTTCACAAGGAAAAACTCAATACCCTTCAGCTTCATTTTCTGAAAGCAGTTAAATAGATAATAGCATTGTTCTTCAATGATCATTTGCAATGAACCTCTCACTGACTGCTGCAAAGGCAACTACCTTAAGCTGTTCTGCATGTATACAGAGGGAAAGGAAGGGCAATCAAGGCAAACAAGGCTAAGGACAAAATATTCAAGCTTCTGTAATAAAAAGGTGAACTAAGGAGAGAGGACTGATTTGCTGAGGTTTGTGTAAAAATTAAGGGGCCAAGCAAATGCACATTAGCACTCAAGAATACAAAAATAGAAAAAACAAGTTGCACTATATAAAATGCATACAATATTTTAAAGCATTCCTGAAGAATTCAAGAAAAACATTACTGAGGTTTCTTATTTGCTCAGAGAGCAATACATATCAAAGTATTTCTTTTTAGAGTGTCATATTACAGTTGTAGATATGTCAACTCACAAGTAAGCCCAATTATTTTCAATGTAACTTACTCCCAAGAAATGTGTACAGCATTCAAGACTTCAAGTTGCAAGGAGAGTATGGACAAGAATCTCATGTAATATGTACACTAATTTTTGGTGAATTCCCCCCCCCCATTGGAGTGCACTGAACTGTAGGTGCTCCATAACAATATCTAAAAAAGCTGTGCATATTTAAACATAACAGATTTTATCAATTTTGCAGAATTGGTCAGCAAATCTTGAAGTTGTTCAAAGTGAAATGCTGTTTCTTGTATATCCCAGAACCTTAAGACAACTCCTTCAGGAGCAAGTTCAATCTTATAGCTCAGGGATGGAATAAAGGAAGACAGGCTGCTGTTCATGCCTGAGGCAAACACCAGAAACAGCTAAAGCTGGGCCAGCGGGATCAGCCCCACTCATTAATAGCTGAAATAAGGTCACCTAGCCTAATACCCTTGGTTTTCTGGTATAAGACAATTCCATGAGTTATCTGAGAACACAAGAGAATCTGGGAACCTGTCCTTTATTGAGGTGTTGGCAATCACTAGAACAATTAGCTTTCAGTAAGGGGAAGCAAGGGGGGCATTTTTCAGAGATTTTGGATATACTGTACAGTACTCCAAGATTCCTGCCTAGCCTCGTGGCACAGTGGTTAAACTGTGGTACTGCAGCCAAAAAACTGCTCATGACCCAGGGTTCTGTCCTAGGCAGTAGGCTCAAGGTTGACTCAGCCTTGTATCCTTCCAAAGTCAGTAAAATGAATCGCCAGCTTGCTTGGGGGGGGGGAATCTGTAGCCTGCATAATTAACTTGTAAACCATCCAGAGAGTGCTTGAGGCGCTATGGGGTGGTATATAAGCAGCACACTTTGCTTACCCATGGTTTTCTCAACATGAAGGCAGCACAAGGAACAGATCAAAAATACCACCAAGGTGATCACAGGTAAGTCAGAGTGAGTCATAAAGATGGAAACAACAATGGCCACACCAACAAAGACAAACTTAGAAAGCATTGCAGGGCTCCAACAGCTGACTGAAGACATAAGTGGAATAAAGCACAGCTTCATTCTGTAAGTAGCAAAAGGAACACATGCTTTCCAAAATAAATCAGTGAATTAAGGTCACCAGGAAAGGCCACCACTGGTAGGAGAGGATCCAAATGGCAGTAGTATTGGAAATAAGAGTCCCAAAGGCTTATAGCACATGTTTTTGAAGATGCATAAACATCTTAGCTTTTACATATTTGGTGGTAGAATGGTGGAGTTGTAAGCAGTGAAGTTAAAAGGGAATGCAATGCACAAAATACAGACAGGAGAAATCACATTGATAAAATGTGCCTTTCACAAAACAGCTGTTGCTGATAACAAACATCTTGGTGTTAAGTGAGACTGAACACAAGCATGTGATCCAACAACAAAAATAAGGCTCAGTCCTCAACCTAGTACTTTTCAACAATGACTTGGATGAGGAGGGGGAAGGGAATGCTTATCCGCTTTGCAGATGACACAAAACTGGGTGTTTCAACTAATACCTTGGAAGACAAAATTTTTAAAGCTCCTAATGGGAGCACTGGGCTGAAAACAACAATGACATTTAGCAGGGATAAGTGTAAAGTTTTACACCTTGAAAAGAAACGTACAAGTTACAAGACAGGTAATACTTGGCTTAGCAATACTACATGCACAAAGGATCTTGGGAGTGTTGTAGATCACAAGCTGAATACAGTATGAGCCAACAGTGCAATGTGGGCGCAAAGAACAGCAATGCTATTTAAGGCTGCATTAGCAGAAGTATAGCCTCCGAATCACATACAGTACAAATTCCCTTCTACTTGGCACTGGATAGGTCTCATCTTCAGTACTGTGTCTGGTTCTGGACATCACACTTTAATGAAACATTTTTCAGAGTTGTAACTGTGTTAGTCTGCAACTATTTCAGCAACAAATCCAAACAAAAGCAAAAAAAAAAAAATACGTTGTGGCTCTTTAAAGACTAACTGCTATATTTTAATGCAATCTTTCATTCCACAACACACTTCTACATCCCCAGCGATGCCAGGACTATCTGTACAAGGTTCCAGAATTACAAGTCGACAGCAAAAAACCCAAAGCAGCAAATAGTAAGTTTGGGTGTGTTTGTGGCAATGTTCCATAAGAACATAGTGATTCAGGTAGACCACCTAGGGTCTACCCGAATCACTGGACAAAGCCAGCAGGGACGGCTGAGGGGCCTAATGCCGAGAGAGGCCCGGAAGGAAAGAACAAGAAACTGGGCGTTCTCGGCAGTGGCCCCTCGGCTATGCAATAGCCTCCCAACTGAAATCCGTCTGGCTCCCTCGCTGGGTGTATTTAAAAGCCAATTAAAAACCTGGCTCTTTAGGCAGGCCTTCCCTCCAGTCAATTAACTGATTCTTTTTTTCTGTTCAACTATTCCACCTTAGCAATGCTTTTAGCAATAAGTTTTAAGTTTTTAGTTTTGAAGGATTTTATTACGTTTGTTACACTGTTGTGTTTTATTATATATGTTAGCCGCCCTGAGTAGACTTTGTCTAGAGGGGCGGGGTAAAACTCTAATAAAAGTAAAGTAAAGTAAAAAAAGAGCTTGTGTTAAAATATGGCAGTCAAAAAAGCATCACTTTTAAAAAAATGTTTTACGTTTCTTTCTGAAATAAGATAGAGACAATTTGTAACAGTTTCAGATGAAGGCAACAGGGATCAGATGACTGGAAATGGGACTGTGAGAAAAGACTGAAAGAACTGGATGTGGTTAGCCTTGAAAAAAGACTGACGAGAGGTACCATAGCACTCTTCAGATACTTGAAAAGTTGTAAAGAGAGGCAGAATCTGTCCTCCATCATTCTGGAATGGAAGACACATAATAATGGGCTCACATTACACAAAGCCAGCTTTCAGTTGAATATCAGGAAAAATGTCCCAATTGTTAAAGGAGTAAAACAATGGAACCCAATTACCTTGGGAGGTGGTGAATCTCCAACACTGGAAGGCATTCGAAGTTAGACAGCCATCTCACAGATACGCTTCAACTTATATTCATGCATTGAGCAGGCTCAATAGTTTTATAGGGCCCTTCCAATTCCATGATTCTATCCAAATCAAACTTCAGGTGTTGAACTGAGCCTTCTAATGAATTGTAACTCAGCACTGCCATACTCTAATCTTCCTTTGAATTTTCTGTTTCACAGGGTTCTGTGCCAATGATCTTGGAAACCTGGTTTTTGAACATTGCCATTTCTGATCTCAAATTCGTGCCCATTTAAATGCATTTGTTTGAAATATGGTGCTGGAGGAAAGCTTTGAGGATAACTTGGTGCCCCATCCGCCTCCATTTGGACCAAATAAAGGATCTTACTCATCTGTACACATTTAACTGTTGAGCAATTTGAAAAGCCTCATCATATTTTAATATATGTGCTATGACTAATCCCCCTTTTGTGGCTAGTCCATATTTTACACTATATAAATCTTAGAATTTTGAAAAAGATTAAGATCAAATAAGAGATGGATCGCCTTGCCTAAGGAAGCCACAGGCTTGAGTGTGCAGGAGCTGAGGACAGGACATTTTGGAGATTACTCATTCATAGGGTTGCCATAAATTGGAGGTTACTTGACAGCATGTAACAATGATCCATAGGAGCTGATTTGCTTTTCCCAAACCAAATGCAGTAGGGCAATGCTGATAGGAGCTTTGTGGTACAGTGGTTAAACTGCAGTACTGCAACCAAACCTCTGCTCACAATCCCATGTAGCTAGCTTGAGGTTCAATCAGCCTTCCAAGGTTGGTAAATCGAATACCCAGCTTGCGGGGAAGGGGGGATGTATAGCCTGCATAATTAAATTGCAAACCACCCAGAGTGATCTCAGTGCTATAGGACAGTACACTGTATGAGCAGCACACTTTTTTTTTTTGCTCAGTCTCCAAGGTGCCACAAGATGATTTGTTGTTTTTACTATACATTTTTTATAATGGTGGGACGTTATCAGAAAGACCACAGGCCCAGGCGAAACAATGAAGTGCTGCAACATCTTAAACTGCAGTCCATTTCGTATGATTACCTGACAAAAGTGAAGTATTTATGACCAATAAAATTTCTACTCTTTAAAACGTAACAAGACTTCGTAGTTTTTTTTTCTGCACTAGATTGAAATACACCTAATCTCCATGTGGCAGAAGAATACATCCATTAAAGGCGACCCATTCTTCTGGTAGAGTTCCATCAGTCCTGCCAGGTCTCCTGCCATCCTGCCCAAAATAGCACAGCAAGGATGCTGGGAATCCTGACAGGCTAATGGGACTTGTCTATAGAAGTCTGGTCCAGGAGGCTGTCTTCCATAACTTTCTGCTTTAAGTCAAAGGTGAATTTCTACTCCTTTTTTTGAGAATCTAGTATGAGCAGCAGGATGGTCTGCATTTAGCGCACAAGACATGCATGGCATTGACAGTCTGCCTGTAAGCACTCCTCATATGGAAAGGGGTAATGAGGGTGCTTCAAAAGTCCTTGTGGGAATTTTGAAGCACCCTCAGCAGTAGGCAGATGATGGGAAGGGACCTGTAAAGCCCCTGGCTACCTTTATTCTTCTTTAAGGTATCTCTGCTTATCCTTCCATCAGCAACTTCTTGTCTCTACTCCCCTTGCTTTGAAAATCTGGGGGCAGAGAAGGAAGAAATGGCTTGCCCTATCCAACGTGCCTTGGGGAACAGTCTAATTCTGCAAGACAAAGCTTGACGGATCACACCTGGCTCCTTTTTAGCATGAACAACTTTATAGCAAGATCCAACGAGGATGCTTATGTGGGCTGGAACCAGAGCTTGACATTTGAAGAGCAATGTTGGGTCTGTTTTCTGCAAGATGACTCACCCTCCTTGGTACAATCATAGAGATTGGCTCAATGAGCCCTTTTAATGTGATGAGTTTATAGAACCGGAACACCTCACATGCAGACACATCCAGGCCGTGCTTTGGCATCACTCCTGCAAAGAAGCAGATGGGATAGTCTTGTCTCATACAAAAGAGGGGAAATAAGTAGATTGTGAGGCATTATTCCAAGATGGCATCACAGTAGTACAGAAATTCTTTGTTCTTGCACCAGTAGGTTTGTAGAAGATTTTAAAAATGTCTATCACTGGCTGAGGCATGATCAGAAAAGTGACAAAGAGTCAGCTTGGCTGAGGGAAAAACTCCAAACAAACCTACAGACTATGAGAACTCTTAAGTGTGATACAGAGGTCAAGCTTTTAGAAAAGCAGGGAGGATAAGAACACAGAGGCCAAGTTGGGAAAGGCAGCAACAGAACTGTGGGGAGGAGGTATGAAAAAATGCCCAGGCTGGCTAGTGGATGAGAGAGTACACATGTACAGAAAAAGAGGGCTAGCAGAGCTGATGAAAGGAGAAGCCCAGGAGAAAAACCACCCATAGCTTGCCCTCTGAGATTACTCCAGATGGTACAACACTCCTTACCAAGACCTTTCTGTGGGGCTGGAGAGCGAAACTCCATGAGGTAAGTGAGGTATGGCTTCTCTGTATTAATTTCATAGTATCGGATGTTGCCGTCTCCCTGGAAAGTGAAAGCAGGAAGGGAAAAGTGGATTTTGCGAACAAGAAAAAGTAGCATCACATTGTCATGCCATAGCTACTCTGCTTGGCCAATATTGTTAATAGTTTTAAAACATATTTGTGCAATCTAGTTCAATTCCCCTCTGTGCTTCCTTGATAGGAGCTGGGCTCAATGATCCATAGGATCCCTTCCAGCTCTGCAGTTCTAAGATAATGATAGTGAAAGGTGGGGAAAATATTTTAAATAAATAAAATTAATCTATTTTGCTCCCCATGACAGCCCTGTGGTGTACTTTGGCCTTTCCCATTTTTAATGAGAAGAATGTGAGACAACAACTTAGCCAGAACTGAAATTAGCAGGTTTATAGAGTGCTCAAAGTGAGACAATTTTGTTTCAAATCAGGCCAAACTCAAATATTTCAATTCAAAAGACATGGGGTGTTTTTCTGTCTTGTCTGAAAAAACACAGAATCTCATTGCAGGCTAAGCATTCGTTTACCATGGATTAAACAGATGTCATGATCTGGCCTACTTCGAAGGCTTAGTACTACCCTGCAGAGAACTTCGATTCAGACATGTCACAGGGTCCCCATTTTGGGGGCATCCCTTAGCACCACCTTGTACACCCACATCAATCTTTGCCTCTGAGGATGACTCCTTTTGCAGCTTCTTCTGTCTCTCAGCATGAGAATGCAGGAACATCCAAAGCCCCTTGGTTGAGCAGCTTTTCCCAGTGCATCTAACTAATAGGACCTGTTCAGATGGGGAAATTTGGAGCAGTCCAGTCCATGCTTAAAAGTTTCTTATCTTCAGCATGATCTCTTTTATTTCTCACTTGAGCAAGCCTTCCATTCATTGGAGGTGTTTATTCTCCTGTGAGAAGGGTTCACCCAAATCCTTGCAGCACTGTTTTATTCGTGTGTAAGTGTACCAGGTTTAATCATGTGTAGGGTTACTCTGATGTACTTGCTAGTAAAGTTTAACTGGTCTGCTCACACATTAAGGAGGCAGCAGTGGCAGAATGGGGCACGGTGAGGTGAAGGTTGGGGAGATGGAAGGGAAGTGACCCCCCCTTTCTTCTCAGCCAGGGCTCTGCTGTTTTTCCTCCCAGCCATCATTCAGTGGGCCATAACAACTTTCCTTTGTTAATGTTTTGTTAAAGTTAGTGGCATATCAGGAGAGCAATGCATCTACCTAGTATGATGTTAGAATTGTGTTGCATCAGTTAGGGAATAATA